GATCTGGTCATTAACGCACACACAGATCTGGTCATTAGCGCACACACAGATCTGGTCATTAACGCGCACACACAGATCTGGTCATTAACGCGCACACAGATCCGGTCATTAGCGCACACACAGATCCGGTCATTAACGCACACACAGATCCGGTCATTAACGCACACACAGATCTGGTCATTAGCGCACACACAGATCTGGTCAGTAGCGCACACACAGATCTGGTCATTAACGCACACACAGATCTGGTCATTAGCGCACACACAGATCTGGTCATTAGCGCACACACAGATCTGGTCATTAGCGCACACACAGATCTGGTCATTAACGCGCACACACAGATCTGGTCATTAACGCGCACACACAGATCTGGTCATTAACGCACACACAGATCTGGTCATTAGCGCACACACAGATCTGGTCATTAACGCACACACAGATCTGGTCATTAGCGCACACACAGATCTGGTCATTAACGCGCACACACAGATCTGGTCATTAACGCGCACACAGATCCGGTCATTAGCGCACACACAGATCCGGTCATTAACGCACACACAGATCCGGTCATTAACGCACACACAGATCTGGTCATTAGCGCACACACAGATCTGGTCATTAGCGCACACACAGATCCGGTCATTAACGCGCACACACAGATCCGGTCATTAACGCACACACAGATCTGGTCATTAGCGCACACACAGATCTGGTCATTAACGCGCACACACAGATCTGGTCATTAACGCGCACACAGATCCGGTCATTAGCGCACACACAGATCCGGTCATTAACGCACACACAGATCCGGTCATTAACGCACACACAGATCTGGTCATTAGCGCACACACAGATCTGGTCAGTAGCGCACACACAGATCTGGTCATTAACGCACACACAGATCTGGTCATTAGCGCACACACAGATCTGGTCATTAGCGCACACACAGATCCGGTCATTAGCGCACACACAGATCCGGTCATTAACGCACACACAGATCCGGTCATTAACGCACACACAGATCTGGTCATTAGCGCACACACAGATCTGGTCAGTAGCGCACACACAGATCTGGTCATTAACGCACACACAGATCTGGTCATTAGCGCACACACAGATCCGGTCATTTGCGCACACACAGATCTGGTCATTAGCGCACACACAGATCTGGTCATTAACGCGCACACACAGATCTGGTCATTAACGCGCACACAGATCCGGTCATTAGCGCACACACAGATCCGGTCATTAACGCACACACAGATCCGGTCATTAACGCACACACAGATCTGGTCATTAGCGCACACACAGATCTGGTCAGTAGCGCACACACAGATCTGGTCATTAACGCACACACAGATCTGGTCATTAGCGCACACACAGATCTGGTCATTAGCGCACACACAGATCTGGTCATTAGCGCACACACAGATCTGGTCATTAACGCGCACACACAGATCTGGTCATTAACGCGCACACACAGATCTGGTCATTAACGCACACACAGATCTGGTCATTAGCGCACACACAGATCTGGTCATTAACGCACACACAGATCTGGTCATTAGCGCACACACAGATCTGGTCATTAACGCGCACACACAGATCTGGTCATTAACGCGCACACAGATCCGGTCATTAGCGCACACACAGATCCGGTCATTAACGCACACACAGATCCGGTCATTAACGCACACACAGATCTGGTCATTAGCGCACACACAGATCTGGTCATTAGCGCACACACAGATCCGGTCATTAACGCGCACACACAGATCTGGTCATTAACGCACACACAGATCTGGTCATTAGCGCACACACAGATCTGGTCATTAACGCGCACACACAGATCTGGTCATTAACGCGCACACAGATCCGGTCATTAGCGCACACACAGATCCGGTCATTAACGCACACACAGATCCGGTCATTAACGCACACACAGATCTGGTCATTAGCGCACACACAGATCTGGTCAGTAGCGCACACACAGATCTGGTCATTAACGCACACACAGATCTGGTCATTAGCGCGCACACAGATCCGGTCATTAGCGCACACACAGATCTGGTCATTAGCGCACACACAGATCTGGTCATTAACGCGCACACACAGATCTGGTCATTAACGCACACACAGATCTGGTCATTAGCGCACACACAGATCTGGTCAGTAACGCGCACACACAGATCCGGTCATTAGCGCACACACAGATCTGGTCATTAGCGCACACACAGATCTGGTCATTAGCGCACACACAGATCTGGTCATTAGCGCACACACAGATCTGGTCATTAGCCCACACAGATCCGGTCATTAGCGCACACACAGATCTGGTCATTAGTGCACACACAGATCCGGTCATTAACGCGCACACACAGATCTGGTCATTAACGCACACACAGATCTGGTCATTAGCGCACACACAGATCTGGTCATTAGCGCACACACAGATCTGGTCATTAACGCGCACACACAGATCTGGTCATTAGCCCACACAGATCCGGTCATTAGCGCACACACAGATCTGGTCATTAACGCACACACAGATCTGGTCATTAGCGCACACACAGATCCGGTCATTAGCGCACACACAGATCTGGTCATTAACGCACACACAGATCCGGTCATTAGCGCACACACAGATCTGGTCATTAGCCCACACAGATCCGGTCATTAGCGCACACACAGATCTGGTCATTAACGCACACACAGATCTGGTCATTAGCGCACACACAGATCCGGTCATTAACGCACACACAGATCCGGTCATTAACGCACACACAGATCCGGTCATTAACGCACACACAGATCCGGTCATTAGCGCACACACAGATCTGGTCATTAGCGCACACACAGATCTGGTCATTAGCGCACACACAGATCTGGTCATTAGCGCACACACAGATCCGGTCATTAGCGCACACACAGATCCGGTCATTAGCGCACACACAGATCTGGTCATTAGCGCACACACAGATCTGGTCATTAGCGCACTCACAGATCTGGTCATTAGCGCACTCACAGATCTGGTCATTAGCGCACACACAGATCTGGTCATTAGCGCACACTAGGGTTGGGTCTCAATTGGGTTTTATCCGATACCAGTACCTACTCGGTATTTTTTAAACGGTTCCGGTGCCTAAACGGTTCTTGAAACGGTACTTAAGAAAACGAAACCACACACACTTTATCAAAAAATAATACCCTTTTATTTACAGGGCCAAACTGGACACAATATTAACTTAAATCTTTAAACAATATAAATACAAATAATAATAAAACCAATATAAAATAAAAATCCACATTTACATAATATCAAATAAAACAATATTGTATCAAACAATGTAATAATACTGGAGATTAATAGAGATTACTAGCAGGCAGAGCTGCCAACTCTCACGCATTGACCGTGAGACTCGCGCAATTGACCCTTTTCACACGCTCTCACGCCACACATCCATTTTCTCACGCAGAGAAAAATCGCGGACAAAGAGGACACTGACAGACAAGACAGAGAAGGTTACTTTTGATATGGAACAAATCCACAGCTGTCAGATTCTGTCAATATTTTTACGAGATTCATACAATAAATAACGTTTTGGCTCTTTGAAATGTGACAGATCGCTGTAGCGCGTCAGTTCAAACGGCACGTGATACAGCAGCCTACAAATCCACTGCTTCTTAGCTACGCAGCGTTGAGTGAACCTATGAAAGAGAACATCTCTGGTTACTGGTGTAACCTATGTTCTCTCAATAGGGAACGAGACGCTGCCAAGCTCCTTGCGCTGCCGACCAGCTTCCTTTTTCGGCAAAGAAATCTGAGAAGCAGATGGCGCGCGCGCGCGCCAACATATTATGACGACGTAAGTGCGTCGAGGCGGCGCCCGCGCCATCAGCCAATGAATTGGCTTGATTCTATATGGATTCAGACTGTCGGCACACCCAGAGGGCGTTCTGACACGTAATTTTACACTTGAAATGCAGCCAAACCTTGCGAGCAAGAGCGCGCATGCGAGACAGAAGAGACTGTGCGTGTGTGTGTGTGTGTGTGTGTGTGTGTGTGTGCGTGTGTGCCTAATTAAGTCAGGCACCGAAATCAGGCACCGAAATTGTCGTTCTTATTCGGTCTGGTTACTACCGTTTACGTCGGAACCGGTTCCCTATTGGTACCGAGTTTCGGTACCCAACCCTAACGCACACACAGATCTGGTCATTAGCGCACACACAGATCTGGTCATTAGCGCACACACAGATCTGGTCATTAGCGCACACACAGATCTGGTAATTAGCGCAGCGTTTTCTTCTATTTACCACAGGAAAAATTTAAATATAATAGGCGAATATAATAGGCCTGATACCTTTCTCACATCACCTTCGGTGTAACACAGTGTGTACTTGTTATTATGGTAGGGAGCATCAAGTTAATTTGTATTGCACATTCCACACGCGTTTGGGATTGTAGTTTCGCTCTGGCAGCACAAAATCCAACATGGCGTAAAAGCCTCGACACTGCGGACTATATGATCCCCTCTTCAGAGTGTTCTAGCCTGCGTTTCTAGCGTGCGTTTCTAGCCTGCGTTTCTAGCGTGTGTTTCTAGCGTGTGTTTCTAGCGTGTGTTTCTAGCGTGCGTTTCTAATGTTTGCCGTGGCGTTTTAAGCAGATGGTATTTCTGCATTCTGCTCTGGTTTACAGGTTAGCCTGAACATGAACAAGAGGTTATATATACAGGACACATTTGAAAAGTAACTAAAATAAACGATGAATGCATGATAAAAAAAGTCTTTCCGAGACAGATTTAATGTGACTTTTATATAACCAGTGTATTAGTTTTAATAAAAAATTAACTCCTGAGAAACTTTTGAAACATCCCGTACGAGCCCCCAATAATCCTCTACGCATCTAGGGCTCGAGGCGCATCATAACCATGACAAACCCAGCAGTGCATCTGACAGTTCCTTCATTGCTCATGTATTTCCCTGTCTCTGGTTGTGTTCAGGCTCTGCGTGTGATGGCCAAGATCATGAGGGAGTGCTGGTACGCTAACGGAGCCGCTCGCCTCACCGCGCTGCGCATCAAGAAGACCTTATCTCAGCTCAGCCAGCAGGAGGGCATCAAGATGTAGACCGCTACACTGAGCACATGCTTATATCATCACCGTATCATTATCCTTTATTACCGCATCACCTCTGTCTGAGAGAGGACGCCAGCACTTTGATTGAAGCGTCAGCTAGTTTCCGCATCCTTCGCCTCGGTCTTAAACCCCGCCTGGACTTAGACGTGGGTATAAAACACGGACTCATGATGAACGCCCCACATGCACCTCCAGCTGGTGCCGTGGGTGCCCCGGGCTCTCATTCTCAACAGATACTTCGCCTGGGTTCAACGAAAGTGCTACCTAAGAAGGATTCTTTAATTATTTATAACGTTTTTGTTCAGTGGCCGGGTTGATTTGAAGTTTTGGTTTGTTTTCTCAATCTCTTAAAGAGAAATGACCTTGTGTTTAATGTCCGCTCATCACTGCAGTTCTTCAGGTCAGTAACTGTTTTTTTGGTTCTGTTTTTGCAAAAACAAAACTGGGCACGACCTCATTCAGTCTTGGCGAACATGCTGCGACATATGCAATATAGATGAAACGTATCTACTTTATATTTTTTACTGCTCTGCTACAACAACTTCGATGACAACCATGCCTTCCAAGCCAGGTGTTACCAGAAAGTGCCACTGCTTTGAAACCAACCAACTCTCCCTCATGGTGTGACCGGCCCGTCGGTCCGAGCGCATCGAGGCGAGCTATCCGCGCCAACGTCTCTTATGCACAGCGAGGGACAGTGGGCCGCCACACTCCGATTAGCTGGTGCCATGCTTCATTTCTGCCTCTTTATTGTCTTCATTGATGCAGCACTGAGGGATGTTACAACAATCCAGACCTCTTCATGTTACAGCTTGTTTTATGGAGCAATGTGTGTTTTCACATTGGGAATCCGGTGTGTGAAGCGTTGGACGCCCGCCTTCAGTCGGAGGAAACCAACCATGAGTTAAAAGGATTGAAGAAGATATATAGCAAGCCAGCGACTGGCTACGGACACAACTGAAAGCTAAAATACTGCGACAAAATAGCAAAACTGAGAGTTGCCCAATGAAAACACGATTATTTCTTTCTCGGAGTGCGAAGATGGCGAGGGACGTTAATATAGCAAATGGATATTTACTAAGCCATAGGTTTTCCAACATTTTTTGGCAACATTTTTTAATAGAATGTCAATGAAAAAAAATATCAAGGACTGCTTTAAAACTCTTTTGAGCAAGCCTTAAGGGACCAATCGATTATGTGGAGGTTGTGTGTGTGTTGTCTGCGTTGGAACTGACTGTAATAGCTTGGTAGGATCCGTACTGTATGTAACCGAATACATAAATGTAGCAGTTGTGTGTCGGTGGACGAACCGTCTCGCCACCAAACAAGCTTTGCTGTGTAGAGTCAGAGCCGAGGATATGTGAAAGTGCTGTTCCTGCGCTCTTGAAGAAGAACGAGACGCCACGCTCAACAAGCTTCTGTTCACTTCATCTTCTCAAGGTATCAGTTTCTGCTGCTTATTTAAGCATGGAACTTCAGTTTCTTTTTATTATGTGCTTACACTTTGGACACTTTTCCTAAAGGACAAACATCTGAGTTTAAGAGCTTGTTTGAGATGGCATTAGTGTAAGGGAACCGTGACAGTCGTCTGGGGGGACAGTAGAGCATTAATGTGTGTTGAGTTCAATGAATGAATGAATGAATGACTGAATGAAGGACTCCTGCTACACGTTGAAATGCAAAACGTGTGGGTATGGAGGTAGTGTCTATAAATAATGTGTAAATGTATATAAATATGTCTGTATAATGTGTGTCAGGCTGGGGGCTCTACACCGTGTACAGTTTGACAGAAAATCTGGAAGGAAAAAGTGTAAATTGAACCCAAAAAAGCGAATCGAGATGTGCAGTCGCAGCTCAAAGGGAAAGAT